CTTGCTTCTGTTGCTGATCCTCACTTGCTCAGGAAGTACTATATGATCAAGAGCCAGTGGTAAAAAAGGAAGACGTTCAAGCTGCCCTGAAGGCATTGCCAAATAAAAGGGTCCTAGGAATCAATTAGAAACCAATTGAGATGTTTGAACTAGTAGACACAGCCCTGGACGTGTTTACCAGGAAATTTGGCTGACAGCTACCTGGCCAACTAATTGGAAGAGATTCGTATTTGTTCCCACTTCCAAGAAAGGTGATCCTATGGAATGTCAAAATTTTTGAACAATATCATTAATGTCACATGCAAGCAAAATATTGTGAAGAGAACTTTTTAAAAATGGCTAGAATAGTATATAGATAGAAAATTGCTGAAAGTTCAAGCTGGATGTTGAAGAGGCTGTGGCACCAGGGATATCATTCTAATGTCAGATGGATCCTGGCTGAAAGCAAAGAATAGCAGAATATTGTCTATTATTGCTGTATTGACTATGCAAAGGAATTTGACTGTGTGGATTATAACAAGTGGTTAACATTGAGAAGAACAGGAATTCCAGAATACTTAATTGTGTTCATGTGAATCCTATACCTAAACCAAGAGGCTGTTGTGCAAACAGAACAAGGAAATACATGGTTTAAAATTAAGAAAGAGGTGGATCAGGGTTGTATCCTTTCTCCATACCTATTCAATCTGTATCCTGAGAAAATTATTGGAGAAGCTGAACTCTGTCAAGAAGAATGTGGCAACAGGATTGGAGGAAGACTCATCAATAACCTTCATTATGCAGATGACACAACCTTGCTTGCTGAAAGTGGGGAGGACGTGAAGCACTTGCTGCAGAAGATCAAAGAAGACAGCCTTCAATATGGATTTCGTCTCAGCATCAAAAAAACCAAATTATTTTAAAAAAAAAATCTCAGCACTGGATCAATTGGCAACACCATGATAGATAAAGAAAAGATTTAAATTATCAATGATTTCATCTTACTTGGATCCACAACACTTAGCAGCAGTCAGGAAATCAGGGGATGTTTTGCATTGGACAAGTCTGCAGTAAGGGACTTCTCCAAATTATTAAGGGAAAATTATCAGTTTGAGGATTGAAGTTCACTTGATTCAGGCCATGAGCTTTTCGATAACTTGCTATGTTGCTGAAAGCTGGTCAATGATTAAGGATAACAAAAGAAGAATTGATGTGGTGTTGGAAAAAAGTACTGCTCCTTGGCTGCTCCTTGGAGGCACAGATGATAAAGCTTCATCTCACATACTTTGGACATGCTGCTAGGAGAGGTTATTCCTTGGAGAGAGATATAATGCTTGGAAAGGTGGGGGATCAGCAAAAGAGAGGAAGACCCTCAACTAGGTGGATTGACAAAGTGAGTGCAGCAACAGAGTCAAGTATGTCAGAGACGGTGAGGATGACACAGGAAAGGACAGAGTTCAGACCTGTTGTCTCTAAGGTAACTATGAGTCATACATGACTTGATAGCAGCCAACAACAACAGCAAATATATGGGGGGGGGAATTAAAAATAGTTAGAGAGTGACCAAGAAAGAGACAGAGATGGTGGCTGAGGCCTTATTTAGAGGCAGCGACTATTAGCAGGACAAAGCTCCAGGCAGATCAGAGCGAGTGCTCTGAGTGGCTCAGAGACACAGTGAAGCAGCCTGTTTGTGAGGACTCCTGTTGCTGTTGAAGTTGTTACGTGCTTCAAGTCGCCTGCAACTCATCGCGACCCTGTGTATAACAGCCCTAAACCCTGCTCTATCCTGTGCCAATCTCATTGTCTCTGACACACCCACTCCGATTACCCCAGTCACTGAATCAATCCACCTCATAGAGGGTCTTCCTCTCTTGTGCTGTCCCTCCACCCTCCCAAACATAATGTCCCTCTCCAAGGGCTGATCTTGCTTTGCAACATGTCCAAAGTACATCAGATGAAGCTTCAGAATCTTTGCCTCCAAGGAGCAGCCTGGTTTTACCCTCTCCAGGGTGAACGTGTTTGTTCTCTAACAGTCCATGGTATATTCAATACTCTTATCCAGCACCAAAGTTCAAAGGCATCAACTCTCCTATCATCCCGAGTCATTGTCCAGCTCTCTGAAACACAGCAAGTAATAGCAAAGACCGTGGCCTGTATCAGGCACAGCTTAGTCTCCAGACTGATATCGTTGCTCCTCAGCATCTTGGAGAGGTCTCTGAGAGCAAACTTTCCCAGTGGAATTAGTCTTTTAATTTCCTGGTTGCTGGTACCAAGGGTGTTGATTGTAGAGCCCAGCAAACTGAAGCTGTCAACAATCTCAATCTCTCCACCATAGTGGGCCTGAATGTCCTCTCATGTTACAAGGACCACCTGGAGGTATCCTGCAGATGCTGTGGGCCTCCTGCCATCGGATGCAGGGTGTTTAATGGAAAGAACACAGTGAGTCCAGAGACCTTGCTTCATCCTCAGCTCTGATAAACCGAATGACCTTGAACAGATCACTTCTCTTTGTGCCCCAGTTACAAAACGTAGGAATTTTCATAGCCAATTGCAGCATCTCCTCTGGGTTTAATTCTCTAAGTTGTAGACGGCATCACTGTTCATCGAATCCTCATGTCCCTCTTGCCCCCACCCAATTGTGAGGAGGAATAGCCTTTACCATCCCCACTATACCTCTGGTGTTGGCAGGGTGGGGTGGGGGTGGGAGTACGGTCCTAAGTGCTGTGTACTAGTTCTGGGCAGAAGCTTCGAGAGGTGCTGAGGCTTCTGGCCAGCCCTCTGGTGCTCTGCCAGGATGGTTCTCCTCATTCATCCCTGCTCCTTTGGCCTGGGTCCCAGCATGAGGAGTTACTCAGACTAGGCCTGAACCCAAGCCACAGCCGAGCCTCAGTCATCTCCCAGAGCCATGAATGGGAGGTGAGTGTTGCTGTTGGCACTACGACTTTAGAGTGCTTTGTTATCGCAGCCAAAGCTGACTAATACACCACATGACCGGAAAGCATCCCTCATAGAAAGGCAGGCACATCAGATCTGGTCTGAAGCTGTCCTGAAGGAGAAAGAAGGGCAGCTGGTGGGGCCCAACAGGAAAGCCCTCCACTGCCTCACACCTCTGTGCCAGAGTCAAAGACCTCCATATGGAGACATCCCTGGAATTGGCATCAACCTCCCAGGCCGCAGCAGGGGAAGGAAGGGAGTTGGGTGAGAAAGACAAGTCAATCAGAATGTCTCAATGTCAAGTTCTTCCCCACTCACAGTCCTCTCGTGCGCACAGCCTTCCAAGTCTGCCGTGTGTTTCTGCACTGCTAGGATGTCATAATAAAAGTCTACTAGAAGCACCAAGGTGGCTTAGACAAGCTTCCAAGTCCCGATGTCACCAGTGTCTGGCTGCTGTGATCAGTACTGAAGACTTTAGGTCTCTCTGATTCCCATTTTTAATGCCCCCCCCCAAAAAAAATTCACCCCCACATCATTGCAGCTAAACCCTACTATTAAGTGTTTTCCTGCTAACCAGGACAATGTAGCCTCTTTAATGTCAGACACCAACTAATTCCAGAGAGAAGACAACTGGAATGTTAATATTCCCCACTGCATGGCTTAGGGTCATCAAGTGAGAGTTCAAGGTCAAAACATGTGACCTGCCTGAACATGTTTCATTTCACTCAGAAAAAAGATATTACCCGGACCATTCCCTACCACCTCACTTGGCTATAGCAGGCCCTCTGGAGCAAGAGCAGCATTGTTTGTGGAAAGAGAAGCCAAATAAACTCAGGCTGCCGTGAACAAGAGTTCTAGCGGCCTGTTGCTGTGTACCGTTGAGTTGAAACCAACCCACAGCTGACCTTCCAGAGGGTCTTCAGAGGCTATAAATCACATGACAAGAGAATGTCCATTTTTCTCCCACAGAGCAGTCGGTGGATTTGAACTGCAAACCTTTGGGTTGACACTGCAATTCCTTACCACTAAGCCAATTGCATTGCCAACCCAGAGGCAAGTGGTTTGGATTCACCAGCTGCTCTTCAAGAGGAAAGGGGAAACCTGCTACTGTGTGATTTACAGCTTCGGAAAACCCACTGGAGGGTCAGCCAGGAGTCAGACGCAGCTCGAAGGCACACAACCACAACCTCAACCACCTCAAACTGACGTAATACAGTTGAAGAGAGAATAAATAAAGATGTAGGGAGGAGGATAAGGAAGAAGCCTAAACCAAAGCAGTACGTTTCCAACTTGTTTCTCAAATCACTTATATGAAGTCTTACCTGGAACAGAAATATGTGTAAATAGATAAAAATGTCAGCTCAAGTAAAACAGGGGTGAGAATTCAGAGAGGCTCATGTAGCACCCCATTTCTACCTCCAAACTCTTTTTGGGACCGCAGGACCACACTCAGTTTGAAAAGCTCTAAGCCTAAACAACATTGGATGTTAAAGTGGGCTTATATACATAATTTATCCTATCTTTCTCAGTCAAACTTTCATGAAATTAATAAAAAAAGAAATTTAAAAAATTCCCCACGTCAATAAGTGTCATAAAATAAAAACTTGTTGTTATAGAAACAAAAATATAGGCTTATATAGTTGCAAAGGGGGGGGGGGAAGTCAGAGAGCTTCATGGCCATGTCTGTGGTCTGCAAAGAACTGACTAAGCTGTGCAAGAATTTCTTGGTATGGTCTAACAGCTGTGGAATAATATAAAGGTGACCTTCTACTTCCTGTTGGGGTAAATTGAATGACCAGAGACCTTTCTCAAATCTTCTTATACTCATGCTCCTTTCCCCTTACCCTTAGCTGAGGTGGAGAGATTTGTCTGGGAGAGGTTTTACTCTTTCTTCTTTGTTTCATCTCTACCCCTCACATCTAAGTCATCACTCTCTGGACTCTGAGACCTCCAGCTTGGTGTAACTTCTGCTGTGGCCCAGTTCAGCCTTCTAAGGGGGTTGAGGCAGCGGAAACCTTCTGAAGGGAGTGCTCCCTTCACCAACACCAGGCTCCCCACCTTCCCAGGAGACAAGCGCTCAGACCCACCTATGCACACCACGTCCATGAAGCCATACATCCCGTAGCAGATCTGGAAGAGGAGGTCTTGGCGTTGCCACTTTGCTGAGGGACTGAAGGTTGACCAGATGAGCCAAGAGATGCTGGCGATGAGGAAGAGAGAACCCAAGATGGCAGCTGCAATCTGCACCTTCTCAATGACTGTCAGAGAGATGGCCTGCCACTGGGAGAGAGGAAGGGAGGTTAGCCATTTCTCAGGAGCCCTCAGCACATTTCCACCCCACATCCCTTCTCCTTCTGCCACTCTCCCCTCTCAGCTCACGTTCTCCCCTCTAGTTCAAGAGTTAAGCCAGGGCTCTCAAACTTGGAATACAATGGAGCATTTTGCAGGTCTTTGAGTTTGACATTGCACCTTGATAGAGGGTAGATGGAGGTCACTCTGATTGTAGGAAGCAGGTTCTAGGCAGACAACCCTGCAAGACCTTTATGTTTGATCAGGACACAGAGAACAGGGAGGGGCAAGGTAAACACAGAGCTAATGTGGGCACTATTCCAGGGCTTCCAAATATCCTTTTCTTACAAACAATGATTATTTTCACATTTCTATATGTTGAGAGGGCACAGGCATTTCTTCTTATTTTCTAAAGAATACCTGGTTTATGTTTAATATATACTCTAAAGATTACCGATCTGAGAGATAAGGAGGGAATGCGGGACATGGAAAAAAGTTAAGAAAAATGGTTTGTACGTTACTGAATTTATATGAACAATGAGATTTCCATGTTTGGGACTTGTTTAACAGAAAAGCGCTATACAAACAGCACCAATGATGACCGGTTGAAGACTCAATGGGTGTTGGCAAGTTTCATCTCTGAAATTCTCCAAGTGCATGGCTGGCCCAGGAAACCTAGGATTCAGTGAACCCAGAGCTGGGCTCTAGTTAAGGTGAATTCATGTACACACTCAACAAATGTGTGTGGTATGCCCCCTAGGTACTGGGCATGGTGGTAAGTGCTGGAGATAAAACAGTAAGAAAAAGAGTCCACAATTAAGGTTACATAGTGGAATGTACTTGGGGTGGTGGGAGAGGTGCGGGGGTATTGTGTACCAGGGAAGGAGTGTTTCTTTTACTTTTGAAAGAGAGGAGCGAACTGGGGGTGGTGGTGGGGAGGGCTGGGCGGGGAGAGAAGTGCAGCAGTGAATGAATGGAAATCCAAAATCTCTGTAAATGCTCATTAAAATTATTTAAAAAAAAAAAAGAAAAGAAAAACTAAACAAAACATAAAACAGGACCAGATCCCTATTCTTGCCATCTTTAAAATCTTGTAGGAACACCTCCCCCCAAAAAATAACCCAAAACAAACAAACAAAAAACCTGAAACAAACAATCAAAACCCCAACCCTAAACAAAACAGAGTAGCAAACAAGTTCACTGCCACTGTGTCAACTCTGACTCATAGCAATAGTCCATGAGTTTCTTATGCTGTAGGGAGCACTGGTGGCCTGGCTGCAAGAAGCTGCACTGCAATCCCAAAGGCACATGGTTTGAGGCCACAATCTGCTACGTGTGAGGAAAGCATGAGCAATTTCCTCCCATGCGATTAACTGCCTCTGAAAGCCGCCTTGGAGGATCAGCTTTGGGTTGATTCTGACTCTAAGATCACAACAACAACAAATCTCAATGGAAGGAGAATATCTTTCTTGCATAAAACAGTTGGCAGATTTTAACTTCTGGAAAGGTACAGCCTCTTGGTGAGCAGCAACCCATCAGACTACCAGATAATTATTCATGACATAAATGCATAAAAGGGAAAAGCATAGCATGGCGGTGCGAAACCCATGGAACATGATTTCCCAGAAGGAGTGGTGCTAGAGCTGAGATCTAACAAATGTGTAAGGATGAGTTGATGAGGCAAAGAGAAGAGATAAAGAAGGCCCCAGTCAAGGAGAAGAGCGTGTGCAAAGGTCCTGTGGCAGGAGGAAGCACGATGAATATGACAGCTAGAGCAGAGAAAGCCAAGGGGAGCTTGGGGTAAGAGAGCTGGAAAGGTAAACAGTAGGACATGAGGATCTTTGTAAAATATGCACACATTTGAGACTTTGTCTGCAGAGTAAATGTGATGCTCTTGAAAAGTATTAAGTAGGAGATTGAAAGGATCAAATCTGGAAGGTAGAAGGAATGAAGGGCTTTTGACAGGAACAGGTTGTGTGACACCCTGCAGAGAGCGTCTCAAATGAAGTCATTTCAGTTTATATTTCGAGGAAAAGCACACTGTCTTCCATCTGCCAACAGTGGGAAGAGGCAATGACTCTGGTCCAGCCAGGTCTGATCAAGTACCTCCAAGAAACTGTAACCATGCAAAACATTTAAATGACTGGTCTGGCTGTAGAACAGAAGCCATTATACGTAATTGTACAGTGTCTCATTGTGGGTAATTGGCCTTTGCATTTTCCATGGTTGGCCCCAGCCTATGGCTTTACACACAGAGGAACTTTCCAGACCACAGCCTGATGATGGAGATTTCCTATGTGTACATCAGATGAGATTGAGATTGTTCACAGTTTCAGTTTGCTCGGCTCCACAGTCAACACTCTTGGCACCAGTAGCCAGGAAATTAAAAAACGTATTGTGATGGGAAAGTCTGCGGTTAGGGACCTCTCTAAAGTACTCAAGAGCAACGGTGTCTCTCTGGAGACTAAGGTGCGCCTGATACAGGCCATGGTTTTTGCAATCACTTGTTATGCATCAGAGAGTTGGACAGTGACTAGGGATGATAGAAGGAGAATTGATGCCTTTGAGCTGTGGTGCTGGAGAAGAGTACTGAATGTACCATGGACTGCCAAGAAAACAAATAGATTCATCCTAGAGAGGGTTAAACCAGGCTGCTCCTTGGAGGCAAGGATTCTGGGGCTTCGCCTGACATACTTTGGACATGTTGTAAGGAGAGACAGGTCTTTGGAGAGGGACATCATGCTGGGCAGAGTGGAGGGACAGCGCAGGAGGGGAAGACCCTCTATGAGGTGGACTGATTCAGTGACTGGGGTAACCGGGATGGGTGTGTCAGAGGCAATGAGATTGGCACAGGATAGAGCAGGGTTTAGGGCTGTTGTACATAGGGTCGCTATGAGTCGCAAACGACTAGACGGCACATAACAACAACAACAACATGAGATGGATTTCTGGGGTCTGTTCCATTGTCTTAAATGAGGCTCCTGATTGAGATGTGTGGTTCTACTAATAAGGCATCAGGAACCCTTGCTCCTCCTGTTCCTCTAGGCCTCGAAATTTCCAAACATGAGAATCAAGAATGGTAAGACTTCACCTCTCATACTTCATACGTATTATCAGGAAAGGCTGGTCTTTGGGAAAGGGCAACATGCTTGGAAAAGTAGGTCACTGAAAAAATGGAAGCCTCTCCACAATATGTACCAACATAGAAACTACAACGATAGTAGAAATGAAGTAGAAATTGTGAGGATGGTGCGAGATCAGTGTTTCTTTCCATTTGTTGTACATGAACCAGAGTTAGACAGCACCTAACAGCAACAAGGTAATTGTAACACCTAATAATGGGGTTGTTAGGAACCTTCAAGTCAAGTATGATTCACAGAGTCCTGTTCTGTGCCATCCTCACCATCTCGTCTATACCTCAACCCTCTGTTTCTGTGTCAATATACTTCCCTGGGGTGGTCTTCTCTTTCACTGACCCTCCAACTTTCCAAGTATGATGTCCTTTTCCAATGTCTGGCCCTTCCTAACAACATGCCCAAAGGATGTGAGATCAAGCTTCACCATTCTCACCTTTAAGGAGCACCCTGCCTGCACTTTTTCCAGGAGAGATTTGTTATTTGTAGTCCGTGGGATGTGCAGCACTCTTATCTAACACCGCAACTCAAAGGCATCAATTTACCTTCTGTTATCCTTACTCTTTGATACATAGCAAGTAATTGAAGACACCCTGACTTGAATCAGGTTGCATCTTAATCTTTAAAGTAACATTATTGCTCTTTAGGACTTTGGACAGGTCCTTGATAAGCAGATTTCCCCAAGGCAGCATGTCTTCTGATCTCTTTAAAGCTGGCACTAAGAGTGCTGATTGTGGAATAGTTGACAATTTGAATCTTTTCCCCATCTATCTTGATGGTGCCTACTGGCCCAGTGGGGAGGATGTTTGTTTTCTTAATGTTGAAATGTAACTCACACTGAAGGCTGCAGTCTTTGATCTCCTTCACTTTCAGCAAACAAGGTTGTATCATCTACATAACACAGATTGTTGATGAGTCTTCCTCTGATGCTGAAGCCGCCTACCTCATCATGTCCAGCTTCTTACCAGCTTCTTAGATGATTTGTTCAGCATAGAGGTTGAGCAGATAGGCAGAAAGGAGACCGCTCTGATACCCAGAAAGCCTCCTTAATCCACAAAGTTCTTTCTTACTAGTTTACAAACCGTCTGCCCAATCTAAATGGCATCCACTGGTCACACCAAGAAGCATACAAAGAATGAAGGGATGGGCTGCTGGCAAGGTTCTATCTTTCTATCTGCTCCACGTGAGGCTCCTCAGAGGTTATGGTAGAAGCCTATGAAGAATACAGAGAGTAAGGATGTTCTGAAAGGTCAGGAGGGAGAGAAGAGCCTCAGAGAGATTGAGCTCTGCTGCTGCTAGACAGCTAGGGCTTCACGCCAAGAAAGATTCCCCTCCTAGGAGCAAGATGTCTCTGTTCTGCGAGCACCCCTTCTGCACAGCCCAAGAGGGAGAACTAATAGAGAGACCAGTGAGGAAGGCACAAAGATAAGATGCTTCGACCCCAGTGGCGGAAGGAGCACCGAGCCAGGGCTCAGGTGATTCAACTCTATCTCTTTCTGCCCCTTACATATTATGGATGACCTTGGAGAAGCCGTCCCACTGCAGCTGAACCTGAACCTGGATCATACTTGGATGACTCTCAGGAGCCCAGGAGACACAACTGGGCCACAACCACACAGCACCACTTCTAGTCCAAACTGCTTCGTGTTTCTGATGCTAGCTGGAGAAGTAAGACAGCATGGACTGAGTTCACGCCACGCATTTCATGGAGTAGAGAAACCGGAAGGGGTGTCCCTCATCTAGAAACTTGCCATTAAAAGCACGGGTAGTGTCTGTTCATATCCTGTGCCCATTTTTCAATTGGATTATTCTCCTTTATCTTGTTGTGGTGTTCGAGTATTTTATAAATTCTAGATATAAGTCCCTTGTCTGACATGTCATTACCAAAAACTTTTT